GTGAACATTGGGGTGCATGTGCCCCATCAAAACAGCATACCTGTATCCTTTGGATAAATACCTAGCACTGCAATTGCTGCGCCATAAGATAATTCTATTTTTAATTTTTTGAGGAAACTCCATACTGTTTTCCAGACTGGCTGCACCAGCTTGCATTCCCAACAGCAGTGCAAAAGGATTCCTTTTTCTCTGCATCCTCACCAACATCTGTTGTTGCCTGAGTTGTTAATTTTAGATATTCTGACAAGTGTGAGGTAGAATCTCACTGTGGCTTTGATTTATATTTGCCTGATGATGAGTGATGTTGAGCATTTTTTCATGCATCTGTTAGCCATCTGGATGTCTTTGGAGAAGTGTTGATTCATGTCTTTTGCCCATTTCTTCACTGGATTATTTGTTTTTTTGGTGTTGAGTTTGATAAGTTCTTTATAGATTTAGGATACTAACCCTTTATCAGGTATGTAATTTGCAAATATCTTTTCCCATTCCATCAGTTGCCTTTTAGTTTTGCTGATTGTTTCCTTTGCTGTGCAGAAGCTTTTTATCTTGATGAGGTCACGATAGTTCATTTTTGCTTTTGTTTCCCTTGCCTCCAGAGACATGTTGAGTAAGAAGTTGCTGTGGCCAAGGTCAAAGAGGTTGTTGCCTGCTTTCTCCTCTAGGATTTTGACGGCTTCCTGTCTTATGCTTAGGTTTTTCATCCATTTTGAGTTTATTTTTGTGTAGGGTGTAAGAAAGTGGTCCAGGTTCATTCTTCTGCATGTCGCTCTCCAGTTTTCCCAACAGCATTCGCTGAAGAGAATGTCTTTATTCCATTGGATATTATTTCCTGCTTTGTCAAAGATTAACTGGCCTTACGTTTGTGGGTCAATTTCTGGGTTCTCTATTCTGTTCCATTGATCTAAGTGTCTGTTTTTGTGCCAGTACCATACTGTCTTGATGATTACAACTTTGTAATACATCTTGAAGTCCAGAATTGGGATGCCTCCAGCTTTGGTTTTCTTTTTCAGGATTGCTTTTGTTATTTGATGTCTTTTCTGGTTCCATACAAATTTTGGGATTGTTTGTACTAGCTCTGTGAAGAATGCTGCTGTTATTTTATTTTGATAGAGTTGCATTGAATATGGGATTGCTTTGGGTAGTATCGACATTTTTAGCAATATTTTTCCTCAATCCATGAGCATGGAATATTTTTCCATTTTTGGTGCCTTCTTCAGTTTCTTTATAAGCTTTTTATAGTTTCAGTGTATAGATTTTTCACCAGGCTATTCTAGGTATTTAATGGGTTTTGGTGCAATTGTAAATCGCGATTGATGACATTTCTCCTTTGTTGCCTCATTATTGGTGTATAGAATAGCAGCCATTTCTGTAGTGATTTCATATCCTGCGACTTTGCTGAATTCATGCATCTTCTGGTCGTTTTTGGTGGAATCTTTTGGGTTTTCCATGGGTATCATGTTGTCTGTGAGTGAAAGTTTGATTTCCTCCTGAGTTTAGATGCCTTTTATTTCTTTGTGTTGTCTGATTGTTGAGGCTAGAACTTAATACTGTGTTGAATAACAGTGGTGAGTGGACATCCATGTCGTGTTCTTGCCTTGGAAAAGCTCAGTTTTTTTCCCATTGGATATGATATTAGCAGAACCCACCCATCCATTTAACTCTGCTTGGGCCTTGTGAAATTTAACCTTCCAGCTTCAGAAATCACTCACCATCCAGGGCTTCTTTGGTATATTAGCTCTAGTCTCAGCTGTTAAGACAGACACAAATGAGAATTTATCTCTGTGGTTCACATGTGCGCTTAGACACAATTTGATGCTCTTTAATGACTGCTGATACAGTATGGGTTTAAAATATATTTGAGGCAAAAAATCATAACATAAATTTAAATGTTTTCGATAGAACAGCCCTGTGGATTGGGATGCCTCCAGCTTTGGTTTTCTTTTTCAGGATTGCTTTTGTTATTTGATGTCTTTTCTGGTTCCATACAAATTTTGGGATTGTTTGTACTAGCTCTGTGAAGAATGCTGCTGTTATTTTGATAGGGATTGCATTGAATATGTAGATTGCTTTGGGTAGTATCGACATTTTAGCAATATTTTTTCCTCCAATCCATGAGCATGGAATATTTTTCCATTTTTTGGTGCCTTCTTCAGTTTCTTTTATAAGCTTTTTATAGTTTTCAGTGTATAGATTTTTCACCTCTTAGGCTTATTCCTAGGTATTTAATGGGTTTTGGTGCAATTGTAAATGCGATTGATACCTTGATTTCTCCTTTTGTTGCCTCATTATTGGTGTATAGAAATGCAGCCAATTTCTGTGCATTGATTTCATATCCTGCGACTTTGCTGAATTCATGCATCTGTTCTGGTCGTTTTTTGGTGGAATCTTTTGGGTTTTCCATGGAGTATCATGTTGTCTGTGAAGAGTGAAAGTTTGATTTCCTCCTTGCTGATTTAGATGCCTTTTATTTCTTTGTGTTGTCTGATTGTTGAGGCTAGAACTTCCAATACTGTGTTGAATAACAGTGGTGAGAGTGGACATCCCTGTCGTGTTCTTGACCTTAGGGGAAAAACGCTCAGTTTTTCCCCATTGAGGATGATATTAGCAGAACCCACCCATCCATTTAAACTCTGCTTGGGCCTTGTGAAATTTAACCTTCCAGCTTCAGAAATCACTCACCATCCAGGGCTTCTTTGGTATATTAGCTCTAGTCTCCAGCTGTTAAGACAGACACAAATGAGAATTTATCTCTGTCGGTTCACATGGTCGCTTGAACACAATTTGATGCTCTTTAATGACTGCTGAATTACAGTATGGGTTTAAAAATAATTGTTGAGGCAAAATTCACATAACATAAATTTAAATGTTTTCCGATGAACAGCCCTGTGGCATTGAGTACAGTCACAATGTTGTGCAACCACCCCAAAACCTTTCCATCACTCCAAAGTAAGCCCCTCACCCCTCAGCAGTTTCTTCCTCTTCCCTCCTTCAGCCATGGATGTGCATTCTGTGTCTATGGATTTACCTTTTCTGGTTATTTCGTATCAGTGAGCTCACACAATATGTGACTTTTTGTGTCTGGCTTCTTTCACTTAGTTTTTGTTTTGGAGGTTCTTACTCATTATATTTTGGAGGTTCTTTCATGTTATATGAACATGTAAAGTATTTCATTCTTTTTTAAAAAATTTATCTTTAATTGAATGTTTCCAAATATAGGCTAGCATTTTAGATGTAGCTTAGAGTGAAAAGTCTCCAAATTTTGAAATGGTTAAAGTATAAATGTAGATTTATTATTTGAAGAGTAAAGTGTACTAATTAATGGTGATTGTAGTACTTTATTCTGTTTTAAGACTGAATAGTATTCCACTGTATGTATATACCACAGTTTGTCCATTGTCTGTTGATGGACATTTGGGCTGTTTCTACCATTTGGTTATTGTTAAATATTGCTTCTGTGAAGATGCATGTTCACATACTTGTTTGGGTTCCTGTTTTTAGTTCTTTTGGGTATATTCCTAGGGATGGAATAGTAGGACCATATGGTAATTCTATGTTCAACTTTTGGATGAACCAGTAAACTATCTTCCACAGTGGCCACACCATTTTACACAGCAATGTACAAGGGCTCTAATTTTTCTACATCCTTGCTAACACTTGTTTGCCTCGACAATAAAAAAAAAAAAGCCGTTATTGTGGCAAACCTCATTGTGGTTTGATTTACATCCCTAATCAATAATGATGTAGAGCATCTTTCCATTTATTCAGTGGCCATTTGTGTATCTTCTTTGGAGAATTGCCTATTCCAGTCCTTTGCCCATTTTTTAATTGGGTTGTCTTTTTGTTGTTGAAATCAGGACTTATTTATATATTCTGGATTCTAGACCCCTGGTACATATCTTTTAACATTAGATCTCCCTGGCTCGACTTTGTTCTCCCTTTTGTAATTTTTTTTAACCTATGGTAAATGCTGCCAGGTAGGAGATGTCTGAAAAAGGGATCTTAACAAGTACTGTATTAGTGACTGGTTGTGGGGACAGTCATGACAGCTATGCAAGGTATTTGGAAACTGTAGAATGTGACACAGCTGTAAGGTGGAAGGCAGGATGCCCCTTTTGGTGCTTTTTTGCCTTGTCCTTATTTTGGTTTGGTAGATTCTGTGTGTGTGTGTGTGTGTGTGTGTGTGTGCGCGCGCACGCGCGCGCGCACATGTGTGTGTTCCTAACATTATAATTCATAGTTAAGAACCTAAGAACCATAAATTTCAGGTTCGGAGAATAACCAGGGATGTTTGCTTTTCAGAGTCATCCTTTCTGAACTTCCACGACTCAGACTGTGAACCCAAAGGGCCGCCACCCTGTGACTCACTGCTTTCCCTCAACACTGAAAAGATCCTGGTACGCATCTTCTGTCCATGCTTCTGTCTTTATGACCTAAAGTACAATGACACATGTTTCAAAAGGCACAGGTCACCTCTGTTTATCAACTAGTTGGTTCTATTTGCATAAGATAAAGATAGGTCATCTGGTATTTAGTCACATTACATTATTATGACTTATGGATTGAATGGTTGATCATTCTAGACCTTGGCCTTTTTACTTCTCAGTTCCAAGGAATAAAGGGGAGATAATGGCTGAGCCTTACTTCTAGGAACCTAATGTATTTTAAGGTATAATATATTATTCTTCCAGCTTTTGCCTGTGTGGATATCTTTTATATCTATGTTTTTAACTGTCAGTACCCGCTGAACTGTATAGGAGGCCTCTCCACTCCAGGGATGAGTTCCTGGCACTACATAACGTCTGTCTCTGCCTGTTCACGGTAGCACGTACACTCCTCCAGCCTAGCTGCCTCAGGTGCAAGGCTCTTTTTTTTGTTGTTGTTGTTCACACTTAATTCTTTGAGGCTGAGTTGTTCTTTCAGTGCCCAAGGTGAACATATTTTTTTCTCCAGGCCTTTTCCTTCAATATCCACATAGATACTGTTTGCTTCTTGTGTTTAAAATTTCCCTTTAGGTTGCTCTCTCTTCTCCAGATAAAGCTTTGCCTTTGCATGTGAGAACTACTGAAAATGGGTAGAGTTTGCAAGCCAAAGAATGATCAACAGATGTTACCTAACTCATTGCATAGCGATCAACTTGATATATGGAAGAACTTGAATTAGACTGGTCCCCAACCAGAATGGGCTAGCTTGTAGTGAGTTGGCCACCAATGAAAACACTTAAGTAGAAATTGGGTAATCCCCACCTTGGGGAGGGGATTAGATTCTTAGAATTATTAGGGACCTACCGTCTTACTGACAGTAATTCAAATATTTTCTCCGTGTTGCATTTCTAGTTTAAGATGGCACTAGCTAGTAACCTATGGGAGAAAGCTCATCAATCTTGGCCTTTCATTTTCCCTAGGTTGAAAATATGGGAGTTCGACTATTCATTTCTTCATTAATTCTCCAGATATTTATTTTGCACCTATTATGTGCCAGGCGTTGTGCTAAGTAAGTACTGGGAATAATGCCACAGTGAGCCAGCTAGCCTCAGTCCCTGCACTCGTGACTCCTAGTCACTAACCAGATAATTATACAAATGAACATAGAGGTATAGCAAAAGATCAACATAATCTCCCTTTAAATTAGGGGGGTCAGGTAGGACAGTTTTCAGAACTTGAAGCGTAAGCAGTGACCTGAGGATGGGTTGGAGTTGGTGTCCCAGCAAAGTGGGGCTGTGTGCATTAACGTCTTTGATTGGAGCTTCTCCCCACTGTCCACAGAAGATATCTACAGATGCAGTATTAGGTGGGAAAGACTTGGGGCGCTTGGGTGGCTCAGTCGGTTAAGCGTCCGACTTCGGCTCAGGTTCCGATCTCACAGTTCGTGGGTTTGAGCCCCACGTCGGGCTCTGTGCTGACAGCCCAGAGCCTGGAGCCCGCTTCAGATTCTTTGTCTCCTTCTCCCTCCTGTTCCTTCCCTGCTCATGCTGTCTCTCTCTCTCTCAAAAATAAATAAAGATTATAAAAAAATTTTTTTAATAAAAAAAAAGTGGGAAAGACTCTTTATTGATAGAAGTTAATTTGTCCATATTATACTTTTCTGCCCACTTCTGTTAGATGTTATTTCTAGTAAAATAAAAACACTTTAACTCAGATATGCTCTTCAGTATACTCTTGATGTTGCTGGGTAATGATTTCTTTTTTTTTTTTTTTTAAGTTTATTTATTTATTTTGAGAGAGAGAGAGACAGAGACAGAGGGAGAGTAGGGGAAAGGCAGAGAGAGGGAGAGAGGGAAACCCCAAGCAGGCTCAACACTGACAGTGCAGAGCCCAACACAGGACTGTGAGATCACCACCTGAGCTGAAATCAAAAGTTGGACGCTTAACTGACTGAGCCACCAGGCGCCCCAAGTAAATGATATCCTTTTATGGGATTTCATTTTTGTTTTCTTCCTGTGCCTTTCTGCCCAGAGCCTTGGCAAATGGGAAACTCTCACTGAGTACTGGATGAAACAATTAGACCTTTTTAAGTACTAAAAGCGATATTCATAGACTCCTTTCCTTGGCTATACGTAACTTACTAAGCGGAAAAGTATTTTACATCTGCGTGCTTATCTGTGACCGCCTAACAAAGAGGAGAGCCTCGTGTCTGGTCACACGGGATGTATGTACTGTGATGCCTTCACATGTTGTTACATCTGCCGCTTCTTAAGTCTTGCGAGGATCTCACTGTAAGGCTCCCCATAGCTGTGTGGAAGCTTCCAGCTATAGAACAAAATGCGAAAGAGCTGAGAGACTTCCTCTCTAGTCATCAGGTTAAACATTCAGTGTTAAACATTCCCATAGTAGTAGAAGTTTCAGATGTTCCATTTTGTCTGGAGTCCTGCATGGAATGAAGTGCGCATTCATCCCGACATGGGATGCCCTTCTGGCCTCTAGCTTTCAACCAGTGTTTTAACCAGAGGTAGATTATTCTTGACCTGTTTCATAGGCAGACTAAATACCACGCCGTATCTGAGTATCACTCTAGATTTTGAGAGTAAAGGGAGTATAAGCGGAAGTGCCTTGTTACTCTGTTATTTGAGTCCATGAAGTCCAAGAGGCCACAGTTCGTCATCTGCTCATGACCACCAATCATGAGCTGGAAAGCACAAACAGCAATTAGGAGAGACTCTCCTGTAAAATTATTTGGCCATCATATATGCCTACAGGCATCCGTACTATGCATTTTTAAAAACAGAAGAACTCAGTTAATCAGGACGCCACTGAGTTCTAATCCTGTGGTCTTGCCCAAAGCCGCAAATCTTCAGTCCCTCACTGTCTTAGCTTCTCCTGTCTCTGTGTGTGTACAAGTTTTAATTGTGTCTTAGGTGAATCTCACATGAAGTAATCATTTTAACACGTACCCTGGAGGCTAAGCATATCCCAACTTAGCATCAGCAGTTAAATCTTCCGGGGAAGTGGCCGCTGTAGCGTTTGATGTGATTTGTCTCCTGCACCCTATAGAGCCGTCATTTCCCGTGCTGCCTGTAAAATCACTCCGGTTACTAAGCAAACTTACTCATTTTGTCTGCCCCTAGTTTCCACTTTTGGTTTCGTTTTCCTGCCAAATGGGCATATGTCTGCAGCAATTCTTTGTAGCAATTTACTGCATTGAGCAAGATGGAGATGTTCACCATCTGCTGTGCACTTTCTACTAGAATGTCTTGTTTCCTGCTCAGATTTTGTGGGTCCCTTTCTGGCGTCATCTCTGGACAACTGGTAGCTCTTTTTTCTAAAGTATTTTTAGAGTTTACAAAGCAATATTCTATCATCCAGCCGCGTCGGAGGACCGATCGCTAGAACGTGATCCTCGTAACCTAATCGAGGCCATTAAATAGTCTCTGAAAACATGGAGGGAGCGTGGAGCAGCCAGCAGGATAAATCCCTATGGGAGCGAAAAGAAACTTGTTCATAGAAACAGAACCACTAATGGTAGGGAGGAGGCAAATCAGTTACACCATAAGCTATGTGCTTGAAGTACACAATTGGCATGACTTAAAGTGCACCTTTTCTCACTTCCATATGAATCAAATGTAGCTTCACTTTGTAAAAATACAGGTTTTCATTGCAAGCCTCGTCTTCATTTGTGAGAAGCTAACATGTACGTTTGTTTGTTTTTATTTCAGAGCCAGGCCAAGTCTATTGCAGAACAAAAGAGATTCCCTTTTGCCACGGATAATGACAGCACAAACGAAGAGCTAGGTGAGATTTGAATCTGGGGGAGGGGGCGGCTCCTGGGGTATTTGCCTAGAATTTATATGATTCGATGCCAAGCAGGTAGGCAAGGTGGTGGAGTGGAAAGAACACAGACACCAGCTCTGCCAACATGAGTGGTGTGATGTCGGGTAGGACATTCAGCCCTTGTGTGGGTCTGTGCACCCTATGTCAGGATAACATGAAATAGAGAAAATACAGTAAAACCTTGGATGGCGAGTAACTTGTTCTGCGAGTGTTTCGCAAGACGAGCAAACATTCCTAATAAATTTTAACTTGATAAACGAGCAGTTGTCTTGCAATACGAGTATTACGTGATGCCGAATGTCACATGATCACAACTGAACCAGTTGTTACTGAAATTCACTTTGATACACAAGTGCTTTGGATTACAAGCGTGTTGCTGGAATGGGTTATGCTCGCCAACCAAGGTTTTACCGTGCAAGGTTTGGAGGAAATGATCGGTAAGGACGTTTCCACCTCTGTGTTTCTCTGGAAAGTAATAATGATGGTCATGAGCCCTTAGGAACGGTTATCATTCATTAAAAGGTCACTTGGGCTGTCATCAAATAGGAGCCGCACAGAAGTGAAAGCCGAGGGGACTCACACCTACTTAATCTTCTGTGTAATAAAATAGCTAGGTGTGGGTTAATTTTACCGGGAGGCCAGTCAGTTATTGTTGTGAGTGTAGAAAAGTTGAGTTCATTCAGATCTGCAGAGGGGTCCTGCAAGTTGGCTGGGTCGTGGCATGTCTGGTTTCGGGGCGCCTGGGTGGTGCAGTCGGTTAAGCGTCCGACTTCAGCCAGGTCACGATCTCGCGGTCCGTGAGTTCGAGCCCCGCGTCAGGCTCTGGGCTGATGGCTCAGAGCCTGGAGCCTGTTTCCGATTCTGTGTCTCCCTCTCTCTCTGTCCCGCCCCCGTTCATGCTCTGTCTCTCTCTGTCCCAAAAATAAATAAAAACGTTGAAAAAAAAATTTAAAAAAATAAAAAATAAAAAATAAAACAGTCTGGTTTCACCAGTGTCTGACGTGCTTTGGGTGTGTCTCATTCATTGCCTAGTCAGCTTACACTTGAAGGAGTGGAAACAAAATTGAAGACCAGACTGAACAGTGCAGCTGGATGGACTTCCCATAAGCACGTGTTCCTACCTGGTACCTGGTGACCCGAGGCACCTTTGGGAATTTTTTCTATCTTATACATAATTATTGTATCCTTTCTGTGGCCATATGCATTTTGTATTAAGACTAAGCACTTCAGGACGTGTGGCTGGCTGAGTCGGGAGAGCACGTGACTCCTGATTTCGGGGTCGTGAGTTCAAGCCCCACATTGGGCCTAGAGCTCACTTAAAAAAATAAAGACTGAGCGCTTCTTGTATTGGCTCCTTTGCTCTGTTTGTGCAGGCAATTAAGAGTTGACTATTTTTAAAGTATTAATCACTTCTTGGTGTTATTCTTAGAGTGGGCTTTGAGAATTAATTGCCTGTTAAGAAATCAGATTTGGCCTTTTCTGAAATCCTTGGATCTGTTCAGCCCTGTATTCACATACTAAGTGATGTAATTAAAGGCCCTGACATGGCTTAGGATCTTTCATATCACAGCATTTTTTTTTTCTTGGAAGAACAGCTTCTGTCAACACACACATTGCCAGGAGATGTAGAATTCTGGTCAGTAATGATTTCTGTGAGAATTCCGGTGTTCTCTTTATGTCTTTGTACTGCCACAGCAAAATTTGGCCCTAATACTTATTTATATCTTTGCAAGATTTGGATTAAAAAAAAAAATTTTTTTTTTAACGTTCATTCATTTTTGAGAGACAGAAACAGCACGAGCAGGGCAGGGGCAGAGAGAAAGAGAGGGAGACACAGAACCCAAAGCGGGGCCCGAACTCACGAACCATGAGATCATGACCCGAGCCGAAGTCGGACGCTTGACCAACTAAGCCACCCAGGTGCCCCGAGATTTGGATTTTTTTTTTTTTTATTTTTTTTTTTAACGTTTATTTATTTTTGAGACAGAGAGAGACAGAGCATGAACGGGGGAGGGGCAGAGAGAGAGGGAGACACAGAATCTGAAACAGGCTCCAGGCTCTGAGCTGTCAGCACAGAGCCCGACGCGGGGCTCGAACTCACAGACTGCGAGATCATGACCTGAGCTGAAGTCAGACGCTTAGCCGACTGAGCCACCCAGGCGCCCCTGGATTTTTTTTTTAATGGATTCTTTTGGGCTTTTCTCAAAACACATTTACCATTAGAAAGATTTGAGAGCTGCGTTTGATTTTATTTGAGTGGGGTTCAACAGCCAAGCCACGGAGAACAATTGAAACATGTCCCCAAGTACAGTATTTATCCCCTCACACTGTATTTGTTTTTATGGGTCGCTTATTCTTTTGTTCACTCGACAGATATTTACTGATTATGGGGAGATGGGTAGGAAATTCGAAAAATTTAGATCTGAAAGGAACCTAAGAAAATGTTCTGCAGGCTTGTTAGGCAAGACCCAGAGAGTAATGAGAAGTGACTGAGGTTCCTGTGATCACCGGTGTTTGGCAGAGCGAGAACCTGAGCGCCTATCTTGGCCTTCCAATACATCACCGTCCTCCTGCATTCCAAACAGGACACGTTTATATTTCAGTCCCTGTTCATGTAATCATCAGGAAAGTCAAACCCTTTTGCAGTCCAGCCCAGCACACGGCAGTTTCAGTACAGCCGTGGTCTACGGCAGGGTATGTGTCTGGAGGGTGGGTCCCAGAGCAGGCAGCCTGGGGCCTGTGTCACTGCGCATTCTCTTCAGACAGTTTGTTTAACTGCACTAAGTTTCCTTTCCTTGTCTTTGAATGGGGATAATCTTTGTACCTGCCTCGTTGCACTCAAGGAGCAAATGAGTTAATACATGGAAATGTACAGAGTGCCATGCACGTTACCCATTACTGTTGTTTTTCCCGCCTGCTGCTCCTGGCCCACACCCCAAGGGTGTCTCTGGCCATCTGCTCATCTGATACATCTGAATGGTATCCATTCTTATTATTCTGAATATGAGTTTGACCGTAATTTCTCTTTTCAAAGAAATTATGGCAAAGACAGCCCTCTTCGTTTTGAAGAATGCCCCCAAAGCTCTTGTCTTGTTATGACATTCAGTGCTTTTCAGATTTGCCTTTTTCAGGTTAATTATAAGGATAGTCTCTTTCTGCATTGCATGTTTTCACTACTTTTAACTGGCAGGAAATTTAAGCTCTTCACGACAAGAAAAGATTTAGTTGCTTGTCTCCTTGAACACTTGTTAGGGCCTAGAATCAGAGTGTTGCAGTAAAGCTTTGTTTGCAAAGAAATGTGACCAAAATAGTATTGTTTTGAGCGAGGAATACAGTTTTTTGAGGGATATTTGGGGATTTAGGGAGTTAGGGCAAGTTTTAGAGATGAAATGTAATGTAGAATATCAATAATGTATTCTGGTTTGGACAGGTGAAAAAATGGAGTCCAAATATTGCTGTGTTTTAGGAGGTTGTCATGGCTCTAATTTCAAAATACCGCTTACCTACACAATTTGACTGGAAACTATTCATCTTTAGTGTATATTTAGAGTAGTGTTTTGGCGGTATTTTGAATACAAGAAGTAGGAAAAAGACTGTTGCACTGCACTGTTGTGAATTGGCTACAATGAAGCATTCTGCTCATATGTATTAATTTGAGCCTCTGTTTTTGTCCTTACTAGGCAACTGGCAGTAAGTTCAGCACCACCACTGCCCCCCTGCCCCCCCCCCCCACCAGCCCCGGAATTGAGACTTGTGCTGCTATTTGGGTGTTTCTCTTAACTTTCACCATAAAACCACATTGTCATGTTATGTGGGTTTTGTTGAGGCTCATTACTAGCTCTTTTGATGTATAGGTGGGAAACATCATAAAGGTTATTTGGTATTTGAAAGTGAACAATGGGCTTAGAAAAAGATAATTACTTCTGTAGGCAATGTTTTATAGATGGCTTTAATAATTTAAATCTAGAGAGCACCAGAAGACTGATAGCAAGTGGCGAGTGGTGGAAGGAATTCAATTACATCTTCTTAACTTCCAGGTTTTCTTTAACTGCTTCTAGCCCTTGGAGCTGCCTTTTAGGATTCAGCGAAGCATTTAGTCACCGATTCTGGTGTGAGATCCTTTGTTCTTTCTTTTAATATTTTTGTATTTTGTTTCATAGCTATTGCTTATGTGTTGATTGGCAGTGGTCTCTATGATGAAGCCATAAGACATTTTTCAACAATGCTTCAGGTAATTTCTCTTCTTAATTATGTAATTTCAAGTTTATAGTCACAACAGAAATACAGGCTTATGCGTAAAGTGCTACAAGAATACATTGACTTTAAGGTTATGTGAGAAAGTGAAAGAAATCAGCCCTGACTGAGCACTTTCTTGGCAGAGGCCTTGAAACACTGCTTTCATTGTCATCTTTGCAGTATTACTTTATTTTAAAGGAGGAAAATGAGATCAAAGGAGGTCAAGCCATTTGCTGACAGTCTCCCCACCATCAGCTAGAAGAGATGGGACTCAAATGCAAGTTTAAAAGAAAAGAAAACCATTAGCTTCCGTTCACTTTGCCCTCTACCATGCCATCGCCCATAAGATACGGATGCTGGACATTCAGGTTCACTTTCCGTGCAGGAGTTGATGTGCACGGTTCCACTCGTGGGTTTGTTTCTCCCCTTGAAGTGTAATTGTGAGACTCCTCAGTGGCAGCATTGAGCCTTCACTGATTGATGGCTGCATTAAAATCTGGTTAAGATAAAAGGCTTAAACAAACATGTGTAAGAGTTGCAGTGGAGACCCGTAAAATAGCCCAACGTTGTTAGCCTTACACCCTTATCTTTATTTAACGGTGTTCTTGTAGATGCTGACCATTGCCGATTGTCGATGTGTGTGTGTCCAATAGAGTAGTGCAGTGAAGAAGCATGGTCTTTAGAGTTAAAGACTTATACCCATGTTCTAATCCCCTCTGCTGGTTGCTAGCAAGTTATTTAGCCTCCTGGCATATGGGGATAATAACCATTACCTCCAAAAATATTCTTGCTAGGTTTAAATGACATATTCTGTAAAGTACTTAGGACTCAGTGCCTGGCACAGAGTAAGTGCTCAGTTCCTTTTAGCTACTCAAAGCACCATTCTAGCATATTCGTCTGTGCCAATACAGTGAGAACCAACAGATAATTTACAATCCAGCAGGTAAACTGAATTTTAGAATACTCATTTGGGGGTTTCTGCACCACTTTTGTTTTCTTTTTCGAAACATGGAATTGATTATATTGACAATCGTGCCTTCATCCTCGAAATCCCAGAGATTCAAGCCGTTGTGTGTTTGAGTGCTCATATGGAATAGCATTCTTCAGCAGAGTTTGAAGGATGAAGGGTAGATGATTAATGTTAAAAATCGCCTTTCTGTGAAGCCTTGCAATATTGGAAAATATAAGCAAGCACTTCACACAGTTAGCACTTGGCCCTGGTTTGAAAGGGAGGTTTTGGTACCTTTATAGAAGCAAATGTCAGTTAATCTCTGGTAACTGATAGCAGAAAACAGTGCGAGCTTTCAGACATATTATCAATTCATTCGACTTTTTGAAAACTATTTTTACCATTGTAGTTGAAGGCAGTATAAGAATCATAAAGAAAAAGTTTAACAAAAAATTTCCTAATTCTGCCACTGTACCGTTCATTGAAGTTGTTTTGCGTATGACCTTTCAAAGCGTGTATGCATTCGTGTTTTATAATCTGAATACACGTAATATTTCATATTACTTTTCACTGAATTTTATACTGTAAATGTTTTTCAGTAAGTCTCTGTAATCTTATGCTTCCATTGGCTCTATGCTGCTCTTCGTGTTGCCCGTTTATTGTTTTAAAACGGATTTCTCTTGCCATTGCATTCAGAAAGTAGATCAAAATTTCTGTGTGTCCAGGCAAGGTCTTAATATACTGATATTTGACATAGCATTTTCATCAGTCTGCGATACAATGGGCTGCTTTCAAGTGGGAAAGTTTTCTTTGAGCATGTGTGGTTTATACAGTTGGACTCCTTTTCTGGTGATGCAGGCTATTGATGGGGCAGGAACAGAGAATGGGGAACAGCAGAAATTCAAATACTACGGGCTCACAGAGGACAGGCCCGGGTGACCACTTAGAATACGTTTTGATGTAGGAACAAGAGTGCCTCTGGCTTTCCTGCTGGTGCTGTTCTTGGTGACTTCTGTCTTCTGTGCCTTTGTCTCGGTGCTTCCCAGCCTTATCCACATTAGGACATGTGTGGAAAAACCTATTCACACAACACACTGGAGTAAACAAAAGCAAACACAGAGGCATCTGGATAGAGCTCAGTGAAAATTTGTTATGTTGTCTTCGTGTTCCATAACTATCAGAAACACAGGATATAAAGATTGGTTAAAAAATGCTAAAATTCTTTTCAAAAATTTTAATGAGAGGGGCACCTAGGTGGCTCAGTCGGCTGAGCATCTCACTTCAGCTCAGGTCATGATCTCACGGTTTGTGACTTCGAGCCCCGCATCGGGCTCTGTGCTGACAGCCCAGAGCCTGGAGCCTGTTTTGGATTCTGTGTCTGGCCCTCCCCTGCTCACACTGTGTGTCTCTCTCGCTCTCAAAAATACACAAACATTTAAAAATTTATTATTTTTTTAAATGAGAAACTCAGCCCTGCCTTTCAGGACAAAACTTTTCCGTGTCCAGGGTCCTGAAGAGCGGTTTGCTCACCACTGCTGCATGGATGCTGCCCTCTTGCCTTTCACTGTCCATGTTAGGACTGGACTGAGTACCACTGCAGGACCATTTTTGTCAGCACGTGCCAGTGGGGGTTCACCTGTTCCCTGCAGGACCCTTTGCACGGGCAGAAACTCTGTAAGCCAGCACACATCCTCTAGCAAACCTGCAGTGGTAACTGTTTGCACACAAGCGTTTCAGGGGTTTTGAGCTCATGAACGCTTGATAAGACTTTTCGTTTGGACAGCCCGTGAGCTCCTCCAGTATCCAGCAGCAGAGTGTGGAACCTGATTCCTTTCACAGAAAGCTGAAAACAAATGGGACCATGAGGGCTTGGATTATATGAGATTTATCGTTTTTATAAGATCATTTAATGTGCAATTTGGATCTGTGCATGTGGGCTACTTAAATTCCAGTGTGACCTTTTGATGTAAAGCTTTTAAACCTTTTTTTCTTAGCTGCACCATGAGGGGCAAACTTACAAGGTGTTTCCACAGTTTCTGTTGCCGTGAAGTATTTGAGTAGTTCTCTAACTAGGGGGTACTTTGTACAGCTATAAAGGAAGGAAAAAAAAAAAACTCCTCAAGCATGCAGGTTTCTAACTGAGCATAATTTCAAAGCTTCATAGATCTATCAGAGTGCATTGAAAATTCTTGGTTTAAAAGCTTGTGAATTAGTGCTCTCTCTGAGTGTCCTTCCGCATGTCCGTGCATCGAAGACCGTGTTTTTGAAAAGCAGAACCATTCCCTGTGCTTCTTTGGTCCCCAGGCGGGGCTCGGTAAGCTAAGTGCTACAGAAGTTTTATGAAGCCATTGGCCTTTGTTATTAATTGTGTGGGCTTGAGCTCATCTGCTTTGGGTGGAACTGAATCCATAAAAATGTTTCTTATTTCACACGAGCAGACAAAATAGGAAACATGCCTCTCTGTGTGATTTGTGAACATCCTTCATGTAATTATGTATGTGGGTCTGCAGCTCGGGCAAAACTCAGTCCTCATTACCTTGCTGTGCACTGACTTTTTTGACTTATTTGTCTTTGATCCAGTGACTTTTGAGTTTTAATCCGAAAGCCAGGCTTGGTAGTGGAAAAATAAATATTTGTAAAATTTAAAGCCCCTCTATAAATGGTATAATGAGGATAGTAAATTAGACCTTTCTGAATTTAAGGAGATCGATGTCTTGGGACTTGAGATATCTAAGTGTACATGATTCCAGTAATGTAACTATCTTATTATACAATGATTGTGCATTCGCATAAAGTAAGTAATATTGGAAGATTGAAATCTTAGTTTTCATTGAAGTCATTTCAAATTCAGAACACTTAGGGGCACCTGGGTGGCTCTGTCTGTTGAGCATCCAACTTCGGTTCAGATGATGGTCTTGTGGTTCGTGAGTTCGAGCCCCACATCAGGCTCTCTCCTGTCAGCCTGTCAGTGCAGAGCCCGCTTCAGATCCTCTGTGTCCCTCTCTCTCCCCCTCCCATGCTTGCATTCTCCTCAAAATAAATAAATATTAAAAAAAATAAAGTAAAATGCTGAACATTTGACAAAACGTAAATATTATTAGACTTGTAGACTCAAAAATCTTTTGAAAAATGGGTATTCTGAGCCCAGTTTGTTTTTAGAAGTAAACATTGGTTTTTAGCTGAAAATATAATGCATTATGACATTTCTTAAAGATCTTTGACTTCTTGTTAACATCCAAAGCCCATGATAGACAAAATAATAAACTTGTATCAATCAAGAAAGGTAAGAAAATCTGCCCTTTAAATTTAGGACCTCTTAATACTAGATTGTAACTGAAATAACAACCACAATAATCCCTTACAGATTCACACAATATTTAGGTTTCTGTATTCAATTTACTTTTTTTTTTTTTTTTTTTTTTTTTTTTTTTTTTTTACATGTAGCAAGAATTACTATTAAACTCCACTCACTGGACCAGAGACCCTCATGGTGTTAGGGAAAGACTTGACCCTTATGTAGAACACTACTGATGCTTGTGAGTTCGTTGGCCAGCCAGTGGCCTCTAGAATTTCTTTTTATTTTTTTTAAGTTTATTTATTTATTTTGAGAGAGAGTGAGTGCACAAGCGGCGGTGGGGCGGGAGGGCGGTGCAGAGAGAAAGAGAGACAGAATCCCAAGCAGGCTCCATGCAGAGCCTGATGCGGGGCTCGAACTCATGAACTGTGAGATCATGACCTGAGCTGAGACCAAGGGTCAGATGTTTAACTGACTGTGCCACCCAGGTGCCCTAGAATTTCTTTTTAAACAGTATAGCAGGATGTGTAATTATTGTTGTTGTTAAATAATAGATTTTGTTACTTGTCTTGATTGATAGAACTTGTTATCTGTCACTGGCAGAACTGAAAGTCACCGCCACAAGCATCAGACCACGTGGGTGACCCAGAGGGAGGGCTGGGGAAGTGAGGCATGTGGGGCCGCTATAGGGTTCTCTGCCAGTGGCAGCCACACATAAAATCCTAAGGGCCAAAATAATGATGACCAAATTCAGGAAGTTATCAGTGTTCAGATATTTGAACTGTTACAAACTGTTTAATGGCTATCTTTTAAAGGCTTGAAATCTTTTATTGCTATAAAATATTACAGCTGTGATTGCTGGTGGCCCACCTGGAGCCATTCCAATGGCACATGTGTCACCCTGCTTTGCCTTATGGAACTATGAATTGGCTTTTTTTCCAATCACGGTACCCCATTGTTTCTGGCCAGGTCATCTGCTTGCTCCCCTTCTGAGAAGAGGAGGCCAGGCCAAGCTGACTTTGATCTGATAGTCTTTAATACTCATTAAAATCTTCTTGTCTGCCTAAAAAATGGCCAGTGATTGTTGTTAACTAACAACCGCTACATATTAAGACTCACGTGTCAGGCTAAGACTAAGTGTCACAAATCCAAACATGAGGATACATTCCCTTGAGGAGATTGTCACCGTGGGTGACAAATGTGCAGATGCAGTATAATGAGTAATAAGAGAATGACTTCAATGGAATTCTATCTGTTAAGAGGCTCCAACTCGACTGCATGCTTTCCCCTGATCCCTCCACACATCCTTACCCATAACTGAGAAGGAATCCCTAGTTGTATGCCAGTGCTGCCCGGATCAATGCGTGGCACCCTCTTCACTGGCATACGTGAGTCCACCTGCTCCACACATCGGTGTGCTGCTGATTTCAGCACCGACTCTCTCTGGATAGCTCCCAAAGGACCTCTCCTGTCCCTCTGCTTCTCCTGGCTCTGGTCAAACCACAGCCAAGCCACTATCACCTGCCAGATAACCGGTGCAGGCATGGTTGTCTGGCTTATCACCTCACACTCTCCACACACATGCACACCATCCATACACGTACACTTTTGCACTTTAAAACACACACGTACTTTGCTGTTGTTTTTAGCTTGAAGATTAAAATCCTTAATAACGTCCCTGTCTACCTCTCCAAACTCATCTTGGAGCAGATGCTATACTTCCTGCTTGCCTTGGGGCCTTTGGCTCCCTCTGCCTGGACCAGCTACTCTGAGATGCCCTCACCTGCGACACATTTCATCCAAGGCACCTCTTCCTGGGGGGAACCTTCCTAACCGTGTCTAGTCTTTATGCATTTGCTAAAAGCACTGTTTACTACTCTTGTTCTTACTGAACATGTAACTTTACATTTATGTTTGCGATTCTTTGGCTAAACTCCAAGAAGGCAAGAATCTTACCTTCTGTCTTTGTTTTTGGTGACTATGGTATTCCTCACACATGAAACCAGACATGGCTGAAAGCTGGCCCTAAGTATTTGTTGACCAAATTTCTAATGTCTGTACGGTATACAGTAGGGACCAAGGCAAAGGAGCTTATTTATTTTCCAGGGGAGTCTGGAAGGAGTCAGGGGAGAGGTGGTGTTTGAGCTGAGGCAGTGGGTGAGTGTTCCTGGCACAGGGACTAGCATGTGTAGCACGCTGAGCTTGGGAGAGCGTCTTGTATCTGGGGAGCTATGAAGTAGTACTCGTTTACAGAGTACGAATTATGAGTGGAAAGTGGAAGGAGATGAGACTGAACAAGGCAAGAAAATGACCGATATTTTCTACCAAAGCATTTAGATGTTATCTCATTGTTTTTCAAATTGTGAGTTGCTGCCTTTTAGTAGGGCCTGAAATTGATTGGCAAGTGAAGACTAACACCTTTTAAAAAAATGAAACACACTGGAATAGAAACTAGAAGACTGCATGTCAATAGGAAGACTAGGTTTGACTTAGCGCAACTCTCATTTCTAATGCGTGTATGTGTGTGCGCGTGCATGTCACGTACATATGTATGTGTATCCTGGGTAACGATGTAAAAGGCATTTTACTATGAGTTAGAGCCACAGTATGTTTGAATGTGGCTGTTGTAGGTATACAGGGTGTATGGAGATGCCACTTCAGTAGAAGAACTATTTATTTACGTAAACTTTTTTTTTTCTGATTTGCCCCTTAGAATTATTTTTTTCAGTTTTAGGAGAAAAGCTTCTTAGATCATATATTTTGAGACATTACACATCTGAGAGCAGGTGTTCCATTCACTGGAGAACGTCCTCAGAGGGGAAGAGCCATGTGGGCTCACTGCCCCCTGCCCCAGCCTGTACTACTTTCTGTGGACTGTTCTGTCTCTTGGCAGGTGGTATTGCTATGGAAACACATGAAGTCAATCTTACCTTAATTCCTCATCAGGAAACTGTTTTCCCTGCTCTTCTTCTCCCTCCGTGCCTGTATCCCTCTCCCTCCAAACCAGCCTCTCTGCCTTTTTTATTTTTATTTATTTATTTTTTATATTTGAGAGAGAGACAGAGAGTGCGTAGGGGTCTCAGAGGCAGAGAGAGAGGGGAGGATGAGAGGGGGAGACACAGAATCCAAAGCAGGCTCCAGGGTCCGAGCTGTCAGCACAGAGCCCGACGCGGGGCTTGAACCCACAAACCGTGAGATCATGACCTGAGCCGAAGTCGGACGCTCAACCGACTGAGCCACCCAGGCGCCCCACTCTGCCTTTTTTATTTTCCAGCCAGGGAGGATATTTAAATGTTTCAAGTGTTATTATCTCTGGGTGGCAGGATTATGGGGTGCCCTTCTCCTTTGTGCTTTTCTTCATTTTCTAGATTTTGCTGTAGTTTATAATAAGTATTCCAACTATTTATTTGAATAAAATGTTTTGTTTATAATAAACATGTCGATATTCCATAACGCATATTACTTAAAACATCTTTTTCCGACTATAAATGTATACATGTTTGTCTTGAACAAGGAAAAGGAATAGTAGTAAGTAGAGTGGGAACATAGCTCGTAATCCCACTCCCAAGAGAAAATTGCTGTTAGCATTTTGGAGCATTCTTTTCTGTGCACGTACGGACCCACACAAATCATTTATAAGTACTGTTTATAAAAGGAAGTGGCATTCCCCTGCAGTTCTATAACTTGGACTTTTTTCCCATGTAACGCATAGCATGGAGCCCTTCATGCCAGTCACATATAAGTTATAAATCCCAACTCCAAACAGAACCGTCTGGAGCCAGGGAAGTGGTTTAAATGAGCAAAGTGGACTGCTGTGACATAGAGGTGATGGGTGGGCTTCCGGGAAACTGATGAGTACACACCCCTCATCTAAGGAAGCGGCCAGTACTTAGCTCTAGGTTTTTTTTTTTTTCATGAGAGAATGCAAAAATATGGGCTTATCTTTGCTGCATGTTTTGATTTTTCAAGTGAAGCTAGAGATCTTTCACTGTTTACTTGCATTTTTCCCATTTTTATACACCGTGAGCCAGTCGGCCGGCTGGGTTGAGGCCACTGATGCACCAGTTTGCTGCTTGATACGGGTGTACCTGATTCTGTTTCAAGTAGTCTTTTTTGTCTTCCAATATATGGAATCTTCTCGTTTATTTTTTCTCGTTATTGTTGGAGTTGCTGAGTCTTTTTCTGCAATGCGGGCAGACAACCTATCTCACATTTGACACCGAATGATAGACTAGTCTACAAAGTGCCTCATCTGGTACAGTTCTGTTCAATTCTTTAGCAGCATCAAGAGTTTCACCCCGGACGATATAGCCAGAAGCTATATCTTCTTTCTTAAATGCAGAGGAAGGATTCCGAGAAGAGGTAGAAATTGCAGAGGCTAAATGTAGAAGAGAGACATTTCCCTCAGGAAGTGGGATGCTTCATACCACTGACCTGTTTGTGGGGACCTGGTGGCGAGGCAGAGGACCCTGTCCTTGGGCCTGAGAAGGGTTTCATCTAGTCCATCAGGGGGCAGCTTGCAGAAAGGGTCTGATTCCTATTCTGACATATAGCATAAAGGACTGCATTCACCCCAACCGATTGTGGAGTGGACTCGTTTCTTGTTGCTCGATGGAGTTGGCACTGGGAGGTTCTTCCCTTTTCAGATGATTTCATGACTGTGCGAGGGGACAAACTGGGAAGAAGCATTGCCCAGTGCTTCGCGCCTAACCGTTTATTTCCCCAGGCCTCCGTTTCCCCACCCAGAGCACACGATCGCGGACGCTGCTGGTCATAGGGTTGTTGAGAGGATGTTTTAAAGGAGATGACCGTGTGACAGAAACTAGCACAGGGCTCGTTAATGTTGGTTCTCTTTATTATTTTTTTTAACGCAAAGAACCTTAATCACGTGTCTCATTCAAATGAGCCCCAAGCACACTGACTCTCCTGGTTGGGGACCGCGTGTGGACGTATGTGTGGCAGTAGCATAAACTAGAGCTTGTTGCTTGTGGCGTTAACGCGCTTTACGCAGAAACTGATTTGTTTTGTTTTGTTTTGTTTATAGTTTTTGACGTGTTTCTGTTTTGGTCTGACTAGGAGGAGCCTGATCTGGTTAGTGCAATTTATGGCCGAGGGATAGCCTATGGAAAGAAGGGATTACATGTGAGTATGGAATAGCTACTCTTGCCATAGTGCCTAACATAACCTGACCTGGACCAGGGTTCCGACAGAACCGCTCCCTGTTGATTGAGTGCCGATGGACACACAGTGGGGGCACGCCAGTTCCCGCCTGAGAACGTGGCTTTAGAGAATGTACTCAATGTCACGTGGCCAGGAAGGTGGGAGCGGGGGACTGGGGATCTCTACCCAGGGCTCCTGGGAGTCCGTCTTGCCATCTACTCTAAAAGGACAGCCTTGCCAGCCTAAATTGTATTTCATGATGAGCTGGACATAGAGCAAGGAAAGTATGAGACCTTAACTGAATTCCCAAGAAATATTCATTGGTAGAAGTGGAGTCTAGGGATGCATAGTGCAGTAGGACTTAGAATCTGAGTTTCTTTCACAATTTTTAAAGGTTGGATAAAAGACCAAAAGCGTTTTTTTTTTTTTTTTTTTTTTTTTTTTTTTTGATAAAGATTATTTTTATTTGTTATCATGTATTATACTCTCCCCCAGATAAGTATATCATTTTCACCTTCTTCCCCTTATTTCTGTGGGGAATGCAGAAGGAGGGTTATAATAGACATATTTTACTCAACAAAGGCACCATGGTATAAACATGAAGATTTTCCTGAGACTATATGGTAAATAAGGAAATAGTTTAAGATTCAGATCTTTGTATTTTCAGTTAGACTATTATACACAAACTATTCTGTTGTCCTATTGTATATTAGAAATACTCAAATTAATGATGATTGAAGGAGAAGCATCACTTTCGTCTTTGCCAATTTAAAAAATTGTACTAATCAGGTGCTGGCCTATTGGTGAAATTTTATATAATATTTGTATACTTCTGAGACATAGAGGACTGAGAACGAACTCAGATCTGGGAATGACAGAGGTGTTTAGGAAGGAAGCAGTGTTACATTCAGAGCATCAATAAATGACAGAAGTTGTCAGAGATGAGCTTCTTCCCAATTCTCCTCTCTTTTAATTTTATCTCTCGACATGAAATTTCCTTGTATCTTTAATGCATTTTTAATGTAAAAGTGACATGCTCATATTTCTAATATAAAAATAACATGCAAATTTTAAAGACAACTTACCTGGACTTCCTAAGGTGTAGGTAGGTAGGCTTAGGGGTTTTGATGGACACTGACTCGGTCCCTTTGTATCCCCATGTTGTCACTGGTCAGCATCATTTTGCATGCTGCTATCCATCCACATACTCATCCATTGAAATTCATTGATTCAGTGTTTAAATAGGTTCAATTTAGAAAATAACCTACCATCAGTGGAACTTGTGATATGTAGCCAGGTCTAATGGGCTACTGATGGGTAGGTAGACGTGAGTGAGTTAAATAATCATAACTGAATTTAAACCAGCAGCTCTTTTATCTAGAAGCTAAGTTCATATTTACTTCTAAGTAAGTAGTTATATCTTTACTAAATTTTTAGTTTTTTCAGAAAAACTATTGAACCTGATTTTGAGTAACAGTGTATCTCATACTAAGCTAATGCCTTTTCAAGGACATTAAGAATGCTGAACTTGCTCTGTTCGAATTGAGCCGAGTAATTACCTTGGAACCAGATCGTCCAGAGGTATTTGAACAGCGAGCAGAAGTGAGTGCGGTTTTCTTTTTCCCTCTGTCGTTATTGGATTAGTTTTGAGTCTCAGATTTTTTTTCCTATTATTTTATGACTCATACATTTTAAAGCTCCCTTATCTATTGCATTTTCCTCCATAGGTACTTTATGCCTTTAAACGTGGTTGAAATTACTAGAAAATTATGGACTGACTGAGAGATACTCCTGATTTAACATTAGTATATTTAGTATTAAATTATGTGGTTACAACATGTACTATTACTGTCAGTGTTCATGTTTACTCTATCTATGACATACTTTAGTCAAACAGTATGACAGTATGGTCAGAATGAAATTTATAACCATTACAAGTGCGTGCGTGCGTGCGTGCGTGTGTGTGTGTGTATACGCTTATGTATAATTCTTGGGAGATGTACTTATCTACATAGAGACATAGAGCAGGTAAGGGTGACCAAAACCAGACCTTGAAGGAACTTAGGACTTGAAGTGGAGACAGAAATAACTTGGTAAAAATACCAGGTAGTATTTGTGATGGGAGACGGGAAGAGGAAATGCTTCTTCAGGAACAGAGAGACATGGTGTGTCAGAGCTTGGGGGAGGCTGGCAGGGGCAGGGTGGGGGTGTGTCTGCCGAGGCCTCACTGAACAGATAATGCTAGAACCAATCAGAGCCCACATCTTGGGGGACAAGGTGGAGAAAGGGTATTCAGATCAGAGAAAGGAGCGTGTGGTGAGGCATTCCTTTTAATAAAACGTGTTCCTCTTACCGTTTGCATAATATAGTTATAAACTACCCAGATTTCATTTTACCGCTCATTTGACCATATCAAATGCTTTAGAATTTGTTAATGTGTTCACACTGGCTAAAACTTAACTTTTAGTCATCTGACATAATGGGATTTCATAGTTGAACTAAAGGAAAAATGACTTGTTTCCTCTTACGGGGGAGAAAACTTAGAAGTAAAGAAAACACTAAATGTGTTAGTAATTTAACAACTGTATTTGTGATGTTTGTATTCTCAAAATTACAGTGTCTAAAGTTATAGTTCAGTTTCACAAAGTGAATTTTATGTCTTATTGGGAATTTGGGTTTCTGAATAAAATTCTTTCTCAGTTAATGATATAATTCATTATCTCTTGTCTATTTTGGATTGTAACCATAAGGGTTAAGGGATTGTAATTTGTTCGTTACTGCACGAGAGCCTTGTTGGTATTTAGGGTGAGATTTGGTGATATCTGCTCTGGGGAGGGGTGCTGATGCTTTTTCCCTCCATTACTCTGAAGTCATGTTAAAATGTTACGGTAAAGCATGGATTCATTAAGTGTGCATAGAAAGAAGACTTGTTCAGCAGCTTTAGAAGTTTCTCAAAAGCTACTCAAAAAGCTTCTCATATCTACTCAAAAGCTAGTCGTGTACCCAAAAGTGATATTGGTAATCCAAAAAGTAATTTTCAATGATCTTAAATATATATAGTGATATTCCTCTTTCCTGGCATCATTGGGCAACGATATCACTACAAAGTGGTTTTTCTAGCTAAATTACAGCTTACCGTTTACATACGTCTGAAATTATTTGATGAGAAATCTTTCTCTTTCATCCTTGCTGCGATAGTCTGTGTTTAATGAACATCATTCCATCTTTTTTAGTTACTCAGGTCATTATTATGAATGTTGATTATTGTGCTGAGGTGTGGTGATTCAGTTATGTACATAGGGGTTATGAACTAGGTAGGGATGTTCTTTCTCCCAAAATCTAACCCCAGACTGCTATGCTTTTTAATTCTCAGGTGTATATTCCGTAATTTCTTTCTTTCCTTTTTCTGAGCTTCCATTCTTGCCACTGGTGATGTGCCTGCCAGAATCCTCTCTCTTTTGCTGGTTTTCGGTTCCCGCAGAATAGGAAACCATGTAGTAGAACCTGATGGAAATGACCTATATTCTAAGAGCAAAATTAACCCGAATTTCAGGACATTTGCTCAGGATGAAATGCTTGAGCTTGATTGCATGAGTCCTGATAACCCATTTTGGATTTTCTCACGTCCTCTTGGTGTAGTTTTGCATTCTCAACTGTCTTCTGTGTTGTCATTGTCACCTGCACACAGCTGACTGCTGCATCACCAGGGTTTCCCAAGCAAGCCTGCGGACCTTTGTTCTTCCGCTGTGCAGATATTGACCAATGAGCTGAGAGTTAACACAAAGGGACTCCCAAAACACCTGGAGTCTTAGATTGTCAGTCAGCCCTTAGTGCCACAGAGGTCGTAGCTAAAGACCATGAAGGACTCTAATCTGTGTCTGTCAGTTTCTCTGCTCTTAATGGCTCAAAGTCATCCTTCAGCTTAACTTTGAAATGCTAAATTTTGTCTTGAAAAATAATGATAGGTTGAGAAAAAAAGGGTCACATTTCAAGAAAAGCGACATCTGTTGTAACCCAGACCATGAAACCGTGACAAAGCCATTGCTGTAGTTCTAGTTCGTCAGCCTCCCCGTCTGCAGGACAAAGATCGGCAGCCCCTCAGCCTGTTGACTTTGAACCTCACTGCGTAGTATGTGGGGTCAAGGATTCTTGCTGCCGGGAAAGTAATCTTGTGAGTGGGGTGTGGTGAGGTGGAATTGAAAAATCAAGAACATTGGCAGTTTGGGGGTTTGTCACTGGAAGATTTCTCCGCTAATGACATGTTTGGGTTTATAGATTCTGTCCCCTCTGGGACGAATTAATGAAGCAGTGAATGATCTCACCAAAGCTATTCAGCTGCAGCCCTCAGCACGGCTGTACAGACACCGGGGGACCCTGTACTTCATATCAGAGGTGAGTTATTTTTGCCTTGAAATGTTTCTTTTGTGATAATAGAGACTTCACTTTTCTGTTCACTTCAGAAAGCTGCTCTTTGATAGATGTGGGTTCGGGGCTGCATGATAATATGCTTGTGACACAAGACAGTCGTAAAAGCACTTTCTTTAGCTGAACTTGAACTAGCGGAGAAACGTTCAGTACCAAGAGTACATTGTCTTGCTTGAACTGTCAGCAGTGACTAATTCTAGACTCGGGGAAAAAGAAAGAGAAAATGAAGAGATTTGGTTCATTGACTGTACTTCAGCCTTTTTTGCACATGTCAGCACAGGGAAACAGGTGCACGTGTTACCGATGTGATTGTGAAACTGAAAGGCACGGTTGGAATTTCCTCGGGGAGCCAGAGCCATAACTAGAACCAACGTGGCTTCTCAGACCGTAGCTTGTCGGTGGCAGTGACCCAGATCTGGCAAGATTATCTTTTATCATCACAGTGGTATCTCTGATTGCCGCCATTATTTGCGTGGGTTTATGTAACTTCAGGAACAATTTTCTATTGCGAGAGAAGATGGGTATGAAAACAATCTCAGCATAACACACGTGAAGGTTGACCTCTGGCATAATCATCTTAGAAGTGTTCAGTGTAGTAAGATGCTAGTACCAGAAAATAATTTGTTAAGTTTCTCTGACAGATTATGACTTTAATACTGTTTTTATAAATAATCTTTTTTTTTTAATGTTTATTTATTTTTGAGAGAGAGAGAGAGAGAGAGAGAGACAGAGCATGAGCAGGGGAGGGGCAGGGGCAGAGAGACCATAAATAATCTTTTTGTAGTTGAGACAGCGTATTTAAATTAAACCTTTGCGGGATTTTCCCTATCAATTTCTTAAGAAAGCCAACTGTTTCAACGAATAGGATAAGCATTCAGCTGATATTTATGGTCATGAAATGTTCCCTTTAAAGCCGAAGAGGGCATAGAATGAAATGGGATTTTTTTTCCTCTACCAATCAAAAGTAGGAAATGTCTAAATATCTAATGAATGCTATTCTCTTTTTTTCCCTTGCTCTCCTTTCTGTAGGACTATGCGACCGCCCACGAAGATTTTCAGCAGTCCCTAGAGCTGAACAAAAACCAGCCTATAGCTATGCTATACAAAGGTCTAACTTTCTTTCACAGAGGACTTTTGAAGGTGAAAGTGTTACACAATATGTGCACCGTATAATGATTCTGCTTTTCTCTCGAGGGTGGGAAGACTTTAGTGGGATTCCACTCGCCTGTTTGCAAATGACATCTCACGTGTCCACCTGATTGGTTTATTTTAGGAGGGAGTTTGAGTCAGTGTATTTATTGAGCTCCTACTATCTGCTGCAGACGGGACAAGGATAAATAGGGGGAAAGAATTCTTTGCACTTTACGCTTTGGAAGGATACAGTTCACCAAGTTCCCCTCTCCCCCCCACCCCCGACGTATAATTTATCATATGGTAAATACACGAAAAAAAGTAGTGTAAACAAAGTGCTTTGGAAACAGGGATAGGAAGGATTCACTTAAGCTGCGGGGTTAGAGAAGGTTCCGGAGAGCAAGTGGACGTTGTCCTCGGCCTTGCAGGCGGAGTGGATTGGGGGCAGCCAGCTACTTGAGGCCGAGAGAAAGCATGAGTGCTGGCATAGAACATGGAGGGACGGCCAGTTTGCGGCGTAGCAAGTAGGTTTGAGTGGAAGGGAGTTGAGCTGTCAGGTCGGCCGAGGGGAGGCCCCCGAAGTGTCTAGAGCGCTATGCTGAGCATCTTGATTTTAATTTGTAGGCCCAGAGAGCTGTAAAATCTAGCTTTGGGGGAAAGGATGTCATTGAGACCCAATCTGCTATTTAGGATGTGGATTCTGACAACCCAGTGGCTGGGGGGCTTAGGGGCAGAGGACCGCGGGGAGACACGGGTAACCGGAGACCTGATCGGACTCCTGGGGGCTCCAAGAGTGGGTCTGGAGACATTACTACAACGAGCACATTGCTGCTGCCGCCTGGAGATTGCTGTTGGGGGGAAGGAGTTGAGGGAAATAGAAAAGGTGTCGTCCAAGCCGATTGATGTGTGGAGAGGCAGTGTCACCTCTGGCCTGTCCCTGCCTCCTGTCCTTGGCCTGGCACTCTCTGGGCATATTGAGGACCTATGGTGCAAGAGCCTTATCTTGGGGCAGAGACCTGGCTGGGAGTCGGGAGGGGAGCTCTGGTCTCTCACAGTGGCCTCCTCGGCGCCCACAGCCGGCACAGGGTCAGAGCTCTGGTGCAGGACCCACCCGAGCCGTCCATTTGAAGACAGGCTGGCCTAAGAGTCAGCCTGGGTAGGTGAAAAACGCTTAATGCTGTCTGGCAGGTCAAGAGAGCCTGCAAAAGAGAAGGTTGTTCTTTACCTTAACTTTGAAAGCTGTGACGAATCTCAGGAGCGCGTGGCAGGAAAGAGTGCTCTGGCAGAAAGAACGTGCGTTTTATTACGGAAAGTGGTTTCGAGGATCACGCCCGCACTCTTGGGGGGTAGGCACAGTTGACCTTTAAAAAGGCCACATGTTGTAAACCCTCGGCGTCATGGGCGGTGCCTGTCACATAGTAGGTGCTCAGTAAGTACTAGTGGACTGAATGAATTTCAAGGACAGAGCGTTGGGTTTGGAGTTGGAAGGCCGTGGCTGGAGCTCCCGCTCTGAACCCTGTGAACTGTCCCACTGGACAAGCTGCTTAAGCCTTTTCAGCCGCTCCTTCCCTTATCTGTCATGTAGAGATGATTCTGCCGTCTGCCTCTTGAAGGGGTTCAATAAAACAACGTGTGTGAAAGGTACTTTAAGAGCTATGAGCACGAATCAGGTATTAGTTATTATAGATCGTGTTACATGTGAACATTTAATTTCATCTAAGTGTCATAGACCTTAAAAAAATAACTCCCGTCCACAAACTACCAAACCAGAGGGAACGGGGGAGATTTTCTTTCATCTGCCTCCCGTCCTTCCTGCCGGGGTGTGGTGGGTGGTCCTCACAGACCTCCCGTCTCCCCCCCCCCCCCCCCCCCCCCCCCCCCCCCCAGGACTCAGGCCAGCAGCCCTGGGTGTCGAGAGCAGTTATTTAAAATGTGCTTTGAGCAGCTGCCAGATGGGCTTTTCCAGTTTTATTTTGCATCTGCCTCTCACCTTCTCTCAGTTACCTTAAATTTAAAAAAAACCTCACGGTCACAACACCAGATGCAAAGTCTGTCCCTCGAGTAGCAACCTCGCCAAACTACGTGGTGCTTTCTCCTCTTCAGCGTGCTCGTAAATAAACCCAGCATCAACGTGTGTAATAGATGGGAACTTTTCCTTTGCATTTTTATAGATCTGCTGTCCGAGGAGGTCAGAGTGTTGACGTATTGTCTCACTCGTCCCAACGGCATCCCCACGAAGTATATAGAAGGGGCAGAGGGTGTCCTAGTTACACAGAGTGGAAAACTAGCGGTGACACATCTTCCTTAAACTAATGAACTTAGTGTAGATACCTTTAGGTCTCTTGTTAACTGTAGAGACAACGTGTTAAATGGACCCATGAATTGGTGCTGTCTTTATATCCTGAAGCTGGTCTGCCCAGGTCAGCGGCAATTCAGAAATGAATTACGGGGGTGGTTTGCTTCTTTACTTATGAGGTAATACATGAGAAATTCTGCAGGCAATATGACCTGACAGATTTCGCAACCGTCCAGCTTGGTAGATCTGTCAGCCATTTTGGATTTCTCTGGGGAAAACACGGCAAACACTTGTCTCGTATTTGTGTCGTAAGGATATTTCAAACATGGTACACTCCGAGCACATGTTTTTTTATCAGCCTCCGCTTCGAGAGGTCCCTGCAACTGTTCTCTTCGTTGTAACGAAGCAGGAAGGCCGGAGTGATGGCCACCCACCACTGGTGAGGGAGGAAGATGGCGGCCCAGGTGGGGTGATGCCCGCCCATGCTGCGCAAACAAACCCCGAGCCGGTTCGTGTGCTTGGAGACTGATTCATTTCGAACGTAGTTTCTTTGTTCCGAGTGGCTTCAAATCTTGATTCTGCTATGTCCCCTCTTTGGCAGAATGAGGTAGAGAGCTGTGCAGTGATTAGACAGGAACCCCGAAACCAAAGACTCTTAAAAGCTGAAGAGAAATCAGACTTTGAAGAACTGTGGCGTCCCAGCGTGCTGTAAGTGCAGTGGGCAGCAGATGTCGCCCGGGCATCTCCCCCAGACGTCCACAAACACCCCAGACTTCCCACGCCCCAGCTGGACTCATCACCTCCTCCCACCCCTGCCCTGCAGCCGGCCCCCCTACTTCCTCACGTTGGCTAACGCTCTCGCCTTTCCCCCCGGGCTCTTCAGCTCCTAAGCTTCCTGCCCTCCCTTCTCCCTCACCACCCCCTACCCACGGCCACTGGATTCTTAGTTTGCCTTTCAGGATATCTCCTGCGTGTGACCCTTCTTTTCTGTCCTCAGAGACACCGTCTCAGTTTGAGCTTTCTTTATCTCTTGCCTGGGCTCCTGCAGTCACCTCCTCACTGGGCTTCGTCCCCTCCCCTGTCCCGCCCGCCTGCTCTGTTGTGGCCAGTGGCAGTCATCTCTAGAGTCAGTTTTGTGAGGTCGCACACCTACTCAGCCCCCAGTCCTCATTGCTGGCAGGGTGACGCCCCCACTGCAGAGCACGCCAGAGGCCCTTCCCCTCTGGTCCCGGCTCGCCACAGGGCCTGGCCCCCTGTCTCTTCCTTCCCTCCACTCCCACCCAGGCACCCACACTCTTGCCGTCCTGCCTCCCCCACCGCTGCGCACCCCCACCCCCCATCCAAGATGCCCTCTTTCTCTGCCACCCTCCTTCTCATTCTCCCAGACCCAGCTCAGTTGTCACTTGCCCTCCTGGTGAAGCCTGTCCTGGTGTCCCAGGCTCAGTTAGGTATCCCTTCCTCTTTATTCCCAGAGACTCTTACTTGTATCTCTCTTGTAGCTCTTAGTTTATATTCTAATAACCTGGTTAAGTAATTGGCTTTCTAACTAGACTGAGTTCTTCGAGGACAGAGAGAGTGATTTGCTCGGCTTTGTGTCCCCCTGTACCTCACCCTGCCCCCGGCACATAGTAGGCGCTCAATACATGTTTGTTGAATTGAAAACGTAGTTGTAAAAAACCCAGAAGATCTAGACTGTGCCAGGGCCAGAAGCCTAATGAAGAGTAGTCTTTGACATTTAAGTGTTAACATTTATCTGTTCTCATCCTTCCGCTGAACGGTACACAATCAGTGGGACTCCTTAATGAGTAGGTTGTTGTCCCCATTGTCACCTTAGAAAGGTTTGAAAGCCGGCCCCTCCTACCCTGCTGCCTCCTACAGAGAAAATCAAGAAGCAGGGAATGAATGATTTTTTTTAGAAAAGAATTAGGATTATGTGCCTACCAAATCACTAAATATTTATTGAGTGCCTACCATGTGCAAGGTATTTGACATGTTAGTAGTTTTTGTGTTATGAATTATCTAATCAGGTGTGAAATACACAGAAGTTTTAAAGCCTTTCTCTTGAAAGCCTTCAGAGATCCTTTGTAGCCATTAACTTAAGTAAGACACATCTTTTCCTTGGGAAATGTGTGAAATGTCTTCATCATTTTTTATCACAGTAAATAATCAAGTCATAATGGAGAGCACACTGAATACAGTGTAAGCCCAGGATGTTTACTGGGAAGCAGACTGGTGCATTGTAGTAACAGTTTCCAGAGGATTCCACAGCGGCCAGGTGCACTGTGCGTTCCCGGCAGGCTGCTCCCTAGAGCGTAACACCTGTGCCGCCTTCTCACTCCGTCAGCCACAGACCCGGAGTTGTGCTGGCAGAAAACTAGGTCCCCCAGACGCCCCCACCTCAAGGTCTCTGTTTTGTTTTACTGTATCTTTTTCCTGTAGATCATGGGAATCATTCACATAGTCCATCTAGGAGCTTTGGTGCTTTTTGTTTTTTTTTAATGAACAATCTCACTTTGGGCTTCCTTTTTTGTCTCTTTCGCTGGTTCAGTTTAAATGCTGCTAGTTATGATCATTTAAAATTGTATACAGCTAGTAGGCTTACTTTTATTCCACAAGGCCTTTGTTGATTAAAGAAATGATATTGACACAAAGGTGATATCGTTACCTAATGAAGTAGATGGAGGGAAGCCGTTTCCCCATTCTGAAAGGGAGAAACTTGTAAGGCTCTGTTATTGCCCACAGCAGAGCATTTGTTTCCTGTTGAAATCAAATCCTCCTGACGCAGTTTGTCAGACTCTCTACCTCTTTTTGTGAAGTCCTCATATTAAAAAAGGAAAATCACTCCAAGACCGTGTACATTATATATTTAAGTCCATTAGTGATTTAAGTGAAACTCAATTTTAATAGTCATGCACATGACATAATTTCCCATATACTTTTTTCAGGAAGCTATTGAGTCCTTCAAAGAAGCCTTGAAGCAGAAAGTTGATTTTATTGATGCGTACAAAAGTCTGGGACAGGCCTATAGGTAAGAAAAGGAACAGTAGTCAGGGTAGGAGGGAGGGTGTAGAGTGGGGAGACAAGAGAGCCTCACATAATAGTGATATTTTATTAAAAAAAACTTTTTAAATCTTTATTTATTCTTGAGAGAGAGAGAGACAGACAGGGTGTGAGCAGGGGAGAAGCATAAAGAGAGGGAGACACAGAATCTGAAGCAGGCAAGCTCCAGGCTCCGAGCTGTCAGTACAGAGCCCAACATGGGGCTCGAACTCACGAACCACAAGATCATGACCTGAGCTGAAGTTGGATGCTCAACTGACTGAGCCACCCAGGCACCCTGTCATAATAGTGATATTTTAAAAGAAATTGTATTTCTTAACCAGAAGAGATTGTCCTTCTAAATCACATAGGCATTAATATGCTTGTTGAGAGCTTCTCTGGAATATAGAAAGACCCGTGGGTCAGAGGGTATCATGACGTATATATCATCTTTTAAAACGACTTCGCTTTGTATATATTGGTCTAGAAAATGTTCGTCCTTCAAAATTTATTGTTTTGAATAGCAGCATTATATGCTGGTTGAGTCATAGACACTGATGCTTTTCTAGACCGTAAATAAGGTTAATTCCCACATCACTGTGATTCGTTTGAAGATTCCTTGATTAAAAGGATGGAAAATTATGCTGCGTAGGATGATATCGATGACCATCAATATGATCAACTATGATATACAGTCACTGTGCATCTCTATCAGGAGTGAGAAGTTGTGCTTTGACCCTGGCGTCCTGACTCCTGGTGTTACCCTGACCAGTAGAGCTACTTTGACTTTTGGCTTTCAAAAATCTTTACAGTCTGAGCTGAAAAGGAGATTGCATGGCTTGACGGAAGGGCTTGGGATTCAGGAGTCAAGAGATTCGGTTCTGGTTCCAGATTGTCCATTCCACACTTGTGTCTCCTCAACTTCCCTGAGCGTCAGGGTTCTCCCTTACGAGGTTCTGTAAAAGTTAGGAAAGAGACAGTAACCGAGATCCCTGTCAGAGCTGTTAGTCACCTCACCCAGGAAGGATTGAATTCTAGGGCTTATTTATCTGATGCAGTCATTGGAGAAGCTCTCTTACCACTAACTTGAAGAAAGTGTCTTTGCATTCGTTTTTAATTTAAATGATGATATTTATCCTTGCTGTCCCACAGAATGGTTGGGGACATACATTGAAAACAGATTTGAAAGCACCTAGAGTAACTAGTAAAGTGATATGTAAATGTAAATGGGTAGTATATTTTTAAAAAATATTATTTACAAAAAATAGACACATGGCACGTTTTTAAGATGTTTTTGTTATTTGTAAAAATTTGATAGGTAAAAGAAGCCTAATAATATTTCTACTCTGAAATGATTACTATCCTAAAATATACTTTCTTTCTGATGTTTTAAATTACAAAATGATTTACTGGATTTTAAGGGAAGTAACTTCTGTGACAGGAAAAATACAATTTTCGGCCTATGAATTTGATTCAGAATGATATACCTATGTATGATTGTAACCTACATACTCCCCCCCCCCCCCCCCCCCGCAAAGGAGAAACATGATTTTATCTAAATACTAAAATCTACACATAGTTTTTCTAAGGGTTGGAGCTCATCATGAATTGGGGAAAAGGATTTGAATAAGCACTTGCTTTTGGAAAGCAATAAATTCATTTTCCCCAAAGAATTTCAAGGGCCTTGTGGTTATCCTGCAGTCGAGTAAAATTTGGGAAAAGTAAGTGAGATGTGATGTGTCAAAAATAGAAAAGGGAATCCCTATCAAGGTATCTGATTCTCGTATGGGACTGTAATTCTGAGGCTAACTTGTTCTGTGTGTTTACTGAAACGTTCTGCACTGTGCTCATAACTGTTGTCAAATACCTAGAGAACTGGGCAATTTTGAAGCCGCCACCGAGAGCTTTCAGAAGGCGCTGTTGCTCAACCAAAATCACGTACAGACCCTGCAGCTGCGGGGAATGATGCTCTATCACCACGGTAGCCTGCAGGAGGCCCTTAAGAACTTCAAGGTGAGCATCCATAAGTGAGAAGCACTGTAACAGCTCGTGGAGCCTTTTTTTTTTCTTTTTCTTTTTTTTTTTTTTTAACCGTTTATTGACTTTGAGAGAGGGAGAGGGAGAGAGAGAATCCCAAGCAGGCTCCACGCTGTCGGTGCAGAGCCCGATGCAGGGCTCGATCCCACGAACTGCATGGATCGTGATGTGTGCCCAAATCAAGAGTCAGACACTCGACTGACTGAGCCACCCAGGCGCCCCTGGGATCATTCTTCAACAAAATTTAGTGAAATGACTAGAGAGAAGGGCAAGGTAATGTTTATACCTCCGCAAAAAGAAAGAGAAAAAAACCACTGCTGTGTCCTAGAGACTGATTTACAGAGCATGCGTTTGGTCTGATTTAGCCTGGAGGGAAAGCCCTTCTAATTCCAGATTGAAGAATAAAGCACTTAAGAGTTATCTGCAACTGTATTGAAACTAATGGGGCATTTTCTCCCTCCATGCCTCAGCGGTGTCTGCAGCTAGAACCCTATAATGAGGTGTGCCAGTATATGAAAGGACTCAGCCATGTTGCGATGGGACAGTTTTACGAAGGAATAAAAGCACAAACTAAAGTTATGCTAAATGATCCTCTTCCAGGCCAGAAGGCTAGCCCAGAGTATCTGAAAGTGAAATATCTCCGAGGTAAGTCACAAAATTGCTGAAGCATTGAATTTGGATGCTCAGAGCCACATAAATCATATTGCTTGTCGCTTGTGTCGTATGAGACAGCTGAGTCTCGAAGGCACTAGGAAACATGAACACGGCCATCCCTTGGTGGACTAGATAAGACCCCTGTCTTCTAGAGACCAGTCGCATACTTTGTCTATCACTTCCTGTGGATTTTTTTTCTCTTTAATGTTAAAAAAGTTAAAAAAATTTTACTCAAGTCAAAAGAAACCTATTTTGAGCTAAACGTGACAACCATCTGGGTATGGGATGGGTCTCATTACACCTGGTCTGGAGACATAGGAGTAATAGGAAAGTAACATTTTCTGAGGTTTTTGTTGTTAAATGTAAACTTGGTAGCTTTGACATATCTCCTTCATATCAGAATTCTCACCTACTTTGGAGATATTCAGTTGGGATGAGGAAGAAAGCAAATCTTTATGTCATCTTTTGATTAGGCAGAATCTCACCTTTTCTCTGCCATATAAAACTATATTTTTGTTTTGTTGTTTTTTTGTTTTGTTCCAAAATGGATTTGTTTTTTATTGAAGCATACTTAACATACAGTGTTACATTTGTTCTAGGCACACGGTGCAATGATTTGACGATTCTGTATACTTTCAGTGCTCATCACGATATAACATTTTTGTTGTTCGTACAGAGCTCAGATCTTTACTCCCCTTTTTCCACTTTCCTTTGTCATCAAAAACCCTCTCATACCACTACTGCCCAACTGTAAAAATTTATGAGCCCTGCAGTTTTAAGTTTTTAGTAGTCACGTTAAAAAAGTAAAAATAAACAGGTGGAATTAATTTTATAATACATTTTATTTGATGCAGTGTATGCATAATATCAGTTCAACATGTAATTATTATGAAAACACTATTTGTTAGTATCAGATATTTTACGTTATTTTTTTTACTAGGTCTTTGAAATGTGTATATTTTATATTTACAGCACATCTTTATACTTACATGTTTTATACTTACATTGGATGTTAAATTTTTATTGGAAGTTCTTTTGTCAAATACCTTTTTTTTTGCCAAAAACTTTTTTTTCTTAAGTTTTTTAGAGTGTGGGGAGGGGCAGCGAGAGAGGGAGAGAGAGAATCCCAAGCATGCTCCTCAGTGCCAGCATGGAGCTTGACGTTGGGCTGAAACTCACGAAACCGTGAGATCATGAGCTGAGCCAAAGTCGAGAGTCTGATGCTTAACTGGCTGAGCCACCCAGGCGCCCCGAATTTTTGTTGGAAATTCTTAATTTGAAGTCCTGTTTTGTAAAATTTAAAGTTGAAAAAGTAGGTTCATACATGTGAGCTGTTCCAAATAGACTAAAGTTTTCTAATAATTGACTCAAATATCAGTTTTTAGGTTTAGAGTAATTAAATTAACATTTAAAATACAGTTTCTCAGTTACACTGGCCACATTTTAAGTATTCACTAGCTAGGTGGCTGGGGGCTGCCTACTGGACAGCATAGCTCCTCACTGTAAATTACAGTTTCCTCTTGTTTCCCGGGTTAGTAGAACGTGGGAGCTGTAGACTGAAGGAGGGGCACTCCATGTTCTGGTCTTTTTCTGCACTGCTTCCGTAGAGATAAGCAGCAGTCAGTTGATGAAATCATGTACATGGTCAGTTGATTTATATCAGTTGACAGAAAACCAGGCTCCGACACTGAACTTGGATTCTCAGACTCTGCAGCTAAAAAGTGAGATATTTGATGGTGTCCATGGAAGGATGATTAAAATTTAGCCAAAGTGGACCCTGATTGACTGGCTTATATTTGGCCCTGGTAACTTGAGTTACCCTGTATCACGTGATGTTAGCGACTTACTAAAATTTGGAGCCACCCTTTAGGATTCTGGGAATTAACAGTTTGTCACAGAGCAGTTGTATGACAGCCAGCGAGAAGAAATACTTCTGGAGCGATATTTGGGGGCGTGTGTCCGATGTGGGTGTGTCAGATCTCGTCTCATACCTGCAGAGTATTCTCGGTATCTTCACGCACACCTCGATACTCCCCTTACGGAATATAACATTGATGTGGATCTGCCTGGAAGCTTTAAAGACCACTGGGCTAAAAATCTGCCTTTCCTCATAGAAGATTATGAAGAGCAGCCAGGGTTACAGCCCCACATAAAGTAAGTGCTTTAAATAAAATGACTTTTTTCAAGACTGAACTATAAGCTTATCATGATATCTCTTGCTCAGTAAACGGCTTTCTACCCACGTCTCTCAAGTATTTGTTTTTGGATTTGATATGTCTGCAAATAGTTTACTTTATACGGCACCTGGAAACTTACCTTTGGATATCATCTCTCCTGGTAGCCTGGCCTTCCCTGCTAATTTGATGCAATCTTCAAACTTCAAATGTACTTACTGGCAGTTTTTGATATGCATTATTATTACCATGTTAGTTTTTTTTTATTTTATTTTATTTTTGAGAGAGACGGAGCATGAGCATGAGCATGAGCAGGGGAGGGGCAGAGAGAGAGGGAGACACAATCTGAAGCGGGTTTCAGCTGTCAGCAGAGAGCCCGACGTGGGGCTCAAACCCACGAACCGTGAGATCATGACCTGAGCTGAAGTCAGACGCTTAACCTGCTGGGCCACCCAGACGCCCCAGCATGTTACTTTTGAAACAAATTACTTAAAGCCAGAAGTTTGAAATTACACTGCTGGTCAACTACTGCTTGCATTATGGCAAAACATACAGGCTAAAGGGCTATCCCATTATAAAAACAATTAGAACAGAAATTAATTTCTGGGAGTCTAGCAATGCCTTAAAAATTAAGAAAAATCTGCAAAGATCGATCCCCTCATGCTGTAAAAAGAAAGACAAGCCGGGGTTGGGGGGGGGGGCGTTGTTTGGTGGCAGATTCAAACTAGAGTGGTGAATGATAAGCACATTTGAAAAGCAAAAAGTGTCCTGGAGGTAAAGGCATGTAACAGCCACTACAGTGGGAGGCCTTAAGGTCTAAGCAAGATAGGCTTGCTAAACTTTTTCAAGGAGCTAAATCAGCCCCATATTGGGGGACCATATTCACAGGATCTCAACAAGAGCAAATGCAAACCTGCGTGGAAAGAAAGTAGTGCCAATTTGGGGTCCAAGTATTTCCGTAGATTAAGATCATTAGAATGAGAGTCAAAAACCAAGATCACCAAAACCATATGTCAAAATCAACAGGAATAACAAACAACAGACTTAGACCCTCAAGGGCTTCAAGTATTGGAATTGTTGAATGCAGTCTCTAACACCAAATGAAATTGTTGAGAGAAATTATGAAGAAATCAGAAACATGAGCAAGAAATAAGAGATTATCAAAAATGACCAGGCAGATTAAAAATAAATTGGAAGCTTTGAGAATAGAAAATACTGAAATGGAGAATTCAGTATGTAAGCTTAACAGCAAATTAGACATAGGTGAGAGAAACTTGCTTAATTGGAAGGTGGAGCATTAGGAATTAATCTAAACTGTGGCACAGAGAGTCCAGGTGTTAGAAAACATGATATAGAAGATGTGGAAGATGTAAGAATGTCTAGCATATATCTGATTGAAATCTTGGGAGAAGAGAATGGAGGAGAGGCAGTTTTTGAAGAAATAATAGCTAACAATTTCCCAGAACTAAGGAAATATAAATCCATAGATTTTTTTAAAAAGTTGCATAAATGACAAGAAAGCCATATCCAGACACACCATGAGTAATAGGAGAACACATAAGGAGAAAATTTTTTAAACAGAAAAATCCTATCACCTACTTATGGTCAATAATTGGACTGACTATAAACCCCTCAACATCAAAATGGCAGTGAGAAGATAATAGACTATCTTCAAAGTGCTGCAAGAAAAAAAATAACTTTCAACCTAAAGTTCTGTACCCAGCAAAACTATCTTTTATGAATATAGACCAAATAAATATATATTCCATAATCAAAAACTGAACTAACCATCACCTGCCATTCACTAAAAATCTCTTAAGGAATGTAATTAAAGAAAAAGGTAGTTGGCCACAGGCAAAATTTGAGATACAAGAAGGAATAATGAGAAAAGAAAATGGTAAGCATGACAAATTGGTAAGTCTAAATAAGTACTGTCTATATAAAATAATGCCTGGTTTGGGGGCTTTATAAAATGATAGAAATAAAATACTGGGAACAATAGCAAGGAAGTTGAGAGACAGTAAGAATTAAGTATGCTAAGGGAATATGAGTTAAATATATGTTGAAGCTTTAAGTTATACATAAATATTTAAAATACTAGAATGAGTACTAAAAGTTAGAAACAAAGTGTATAGCTTCTATATTAGTGGACGAGTAAAAAAATAAAAAATAAAGTCTACAATCAACCAGAAAAGAGGGGAAAGAGAGGAGGCATAAAAAAGTAGGGCAAATAAAAAGAAAAAAATAAGAATAGGTTGAAATAAACCAGGTATATTAATAATGACAATAAATATAAATGGATTTTTAAATGTCAAAAGACAGACATAGTTGGATTTGAATTTTTTTTTAATGTTAATTTATTTTTGAGAGAGAGAGACAGAGCGTGAGTCTGGGAGGGGCCGAGAGAGAGGGAGACACATAATCTGAAGCAGGCTCCAGGCTCTGAGCTGTCAGCACAGAGCCCGATGAGGAGCTCAAACCCACGAACTGCGAGATCATGGCCTGAGCCCAAGTTGGACGCTTAACCTCTGAGCCACCCAGGCACCCCTGACTGTTTTAAAAATCCAGTTAAATGCTTTCTACAAGAGACATGTAATGCTTAAGGACACAGAAAGATTGAAAGTAAAGGGATGGAAACAATTCTACATGGGAAACATCAAAAGATTCCTGATGTAGGTATGTTTATATTAATGGATTTAACTTTTTTTTTAATTACTAAGAACAAAGATTGTTACTACATAAGGACAGAGGTTCAAATCACCAGGAAAGATGTAAATTTAAACTTACATATACCTACTAAAATAACTTTACAAATTGAAAGAAATACACAGAGAAATCAATAGATTCAGTATCCTAATGAGAGATTCTAATTTTTGATCAGTCACACACACACACAAAACTAGTAAAGATTTAGACTTTCTGAACATCACGGTTAACAGACTTGGCCTATTATTCTGCTATAGAACTGTGTACCCAGTAATCGAAGAATACATAGTCTTTTCAAGTACACTTTGGTCATTTATAAAGACTGACCACTTACTCATATTTAAATACATTTCAAATAACTGGTGCCACAGTAGACTACGGTAAAATCTTCATTATTTGGAAATTTAAAAGCACACATATTAAAATATAGATTAAAGATAAAATCCACACTGGAAATTTGAATATACTTTAAAAACAAAAAAAGATGAAAACTCCACATACCAATACTTGTGGAAGCAGTGAGACCATTATCTAACCAAAAGTAATAAAAAGAAGAGATTGCTCAGAGAAGTTATATATATTCTCTACCACCCCATCTTAGAGAAGTACCCATGTGCAGAAAAGCACGAACCTAGGCAGGCCTGCACTGCTGTCCCTGGAAAAGTCTGCTTGCAAGGCCGGCCCCTGGGTGGCATCTGGGAACGTGGATTTCAGGAGGGTTCCCATCATGCCCAGAACTCATAAGAGTGGCTCACTGTGTGCCAAAGCTGCTTGTACAAACAATATGATTTATGTTAAACACTTGCTTTGCCTCTGAGTATTTGCAATTTGAGTAATTCCCAGGCAAAGGCTGTTTACACGATCAGCGTCTGATAAAAAACCCTGGGCACTGAGTATCTAATGAGCTTCCTGGTTAGCATTTCACACAGCAGGGAGGGGGGTTTAATCCTGAGTGTCTCCCCTGGGACAGGACGCTTGGAAGCTTGCGCCTGGTGTCCTCTGCACTTCGCCCCCTGAGCTTTTCCCCTTTGAGGATTGTGCCTGTGTCCTGCTGTGCTAAATCACAGCCATGAGTACAACTGTGGAGTCCTGTGAGCCCTCCCAGCGGATTATGGGACCCAAGGGTGGTCTTGTGGGCCTCTACACAACCTGTAACCTAACATTGCAAACTCTGTTATGCACACTTAGGGCAGGTAGGCAGCCAAACGATTAATAGGCCCCAGGCCATCCCAGGTACACTTGGTCTAATGCAACCTGAGGCAGGGGTGGGGGAGAGACATAGGGCAGAGATTTGGTTGCTTGTTGATAAAGTCAGTCCATGCAGGTTATGTATCCTTGGGGAAGTTTATGAAGCAAATAATGGCCAGAAGTGCCTTCTGAATTGCACTCTAGTTACCAGTGTTACTCACAAGCGTGTGATAATAATTGTGCGCATACACGCGTAAAGATTCTTCTAATTTGTGTAAGATTGGGTGCCAAGCACTGGGGTCAAGATCCTGTGGTCATAGATTTCTCGATCAGTTCTCCAGTGGAGGAAATGACTGCTCCTCAGGTAAAATTGGATTAGCAGACCTCTGTTGTAAAGTCCCTAACCGCGTATGTCGTGTTCCTTCCAGAGACGTGTTACATCAGAACTTTGAGAGTTATAAGCCAGAGGTACAAGAGCTGATCTGTGTAGCTGATCGTTTGGGATCCCTGATGCAGTATGAAACTCCTGGCTTCCTGCCAAACAAGAGAATACACAGAGGTATCCTGAAACCATCCGAAAACGGACAGGTTGCTGACATAAGAGCAAGAATCGTCAAACCATGTTGCGCGTAAAAAAAAAAAAAAAAATCATTTGTGCCAACTCATAAATCCCCATTTGATCCGGACAAAACTGTAGAGATTCATTCACACTGAATTCTGAAAGAGAGCTTCCCGTGTGGCCTTGGTGTTGTCGCCACCCTGTTGATGTAGAATATGGGTCGTCAGCTGTGGCTGTGGATCTGACGGCTCGTCCACGGGAGCGGTTTGCTTAGTGTGGGAGCGAGGGAGAATTTGAATCTCCAGTTCTTTAGGAGGCAGAGCTGGGAGGAGACAGCTTCGGGGGGGGGGGTGCCTCTAATTTCCTCTGATAGATGTTAGTTTTATGAAGACTGACACGATTGTGGCGTATCTCTGGTCTTGTTAAATTACCAATACGTACAATTCTTTTTTTTTTTTTTTTT